CTTCAGGTCCAATTATCAGGTCAATCATCGTTTATGTCGATGTAGAAATTTGACAATAATATATTATAATAATTACCCATAAATATGTTTAACAATTGAATATTAATAATATATTTATTAGACAATTCCAACAATATTATATACACAAAATTGAATTGTATCATATATATATAATTACTATCATTGATTACTTGGTAAAAAAATTCAAATTAGATAAAGTGAATAGTGACAAAAATTCAATGTAAGAAACTATGAGTAATAGTAATAATAACAATGATAAGTGTTACTAATCAAATGACAAATAGAATTCTTTATGAATTACGAGTACTACTTACATTTAAACAATACTATACGTCTATACACACAACACTATGCTATTTAATTTAGGTTATTTTTCATAAGTATTTATTTGGGTAAGCCCTAAATCAATTAGGTCATTTTGAGTATTTATTAATTTTGGGTTGGGTCATTTCAAGTATAGTTCGGGTCACTTATGGTTTCGGGGCGTTTGGTTCAAAATCAAGTCGGGTCACTTCGGATTTCGGATTAATTTCGGATCGAGTCACTCGGGTCGAGTTAATTTGGATTGGGTTAATTCTGACATCAAATCAAGTTTGGGTCAACTCCACTTCAGATTGGATATGAGACTATGGGTCGACTTTGCGTTCAGGTCACATATCGGGTTATTCGGGTTGGGTTAGGAGACTTAGGACTGCCAGGTCTCCTATACTAATTATGAATTTATGATCCTTCACTTTTTTAAAAAAAAAAATAAAGTGAAAAAAAATTAAAGAAATAGTTGTAAAATTGACCTATTAAAGAAAACTTTTAAAGAGTATACTACGTAAAAGGAGTAATAAAAAGGCTAATATACATTGTCTTGTCAACCTCCAGTTTTGACCATGTAAAAACAAACGGTCGTGTAGCCAGCTCAGACTCTGGGTCCCACCTTTTCCCGGAAAAACCTTTTTATCTTTTATGGGTCCCACATTTTCCCACGTTTGATTAAGGGGTGTGATTCGGACACGTGGCTAAATCGAAGACGTCGAATAGATTCTACTCAACTGTCACCGACGTTGATCACCATTCAACAGCTGTCAAAGAAAGGGACGTGTATGGCCCCACCATTCCAACGTGGACACGTCAGTTTGACATGGTCACACGTGTCATTACGCGCCTCAGCCACGGTGACACGTGTCTGTCGTTTTCTCCGTTTTTGGTGGGACCATAGTCCGTTTCAACGGTTTCTCTTTCCGTTTTGTTGCTAGTTAGTGTATTTTCTTTATTTTTAGAGGTGGTTAATGGTTACTACGTGTTCCGTACGAAACATTAATACAATATACAAGTGGTGAAATACTATTTTATTTATTTATTTATTTATTTTTTGGACGGGGTGAAATACTATTGTTATGTACTACTCCATAGTAAGGCCCTGTTTGATTCACCTTAAAAAAATAATATTAAGTAAAAATAATTTTAGTTCAGTAAAAATAATTTCATTTCAGTAAAAATAATTTCAGTCCAGTAAAAATAAGTTCAGTTCAGTAAAATTCAGTTTTCTTAAAGAAGAATTATAATAGAAAATCAGTAAAAATAATTTCAGTTCAGTAAAATTAATTTAAGTTCAGTAAAAATAATTTCAGTTCAGTTCAGTAAAAATAAGTCCAGTTCAGTAAAAATAATTTCAGTTCAGCAAAATTAAGGTGAATCAAACAGGACCTAAGTTTAAAATTAATTAATAATTTAATACTACTCACTTCCATTTCTTTCAAAAATAAATAAAAATTCTACTCCTTCCATTTCCTTATTTAGTGACCTTTATTTTATTTTTGGGTAGTCAAAATTTATAGTTTGTTTCTATTTTAAATTTTAAATAGGGTTCTTTTTGACAAAATTAGAAAGATTCTTATATACACTTGAGTGCACCGTACACCCTTGAGTATGATATTCCCATTTATATGTTTGTTTTTTATTTAATTATCAAATAAAGAGCAAAAACTAATCTTGGGTTAGCTGGTGTACGGTGAAGCCGATTGTATATAACAAATTCCTTTATTTTTGTGAGTTGTCATCATTTTTCTTATATTTTTTTTATGTATTTTTATATTATTTTCCAACACTTTATCTCTTCTTCTTTTCAATAATTACCAACTACATCTTTGGAATCAACAACTCTCTTAATTCATATGAAAAAAATCCAAATAGATCACTAAGGGTCTGTTCTCATTGACTGAACTCAGCTGAACTGAACTGACTATTTTATAAGAGAAGGAATTAGGAGCTGAACTGAATATTTTATAAGAGAAGGAAATTAGGAGCTAAACTGAACTGAATTTCAACGTAAGAGAACATGCCCTAACTAAGGGGTAGAGAGAGCACGTATAATCAATAACAGAATTATATGTAAGTAGTTAGTCTAAAAACATTGTTACTCTGTAGATCAATACATAATAGCACTTGTCAATTAATTACAAATTGATTTAAAAATAATTTTCTAGTGGCCGGTTCACTTCAGCTTATTTTCAATTCAATTCAATTTCTAATTTTTTTCCTCTCATAAAATATTTAATTTAGCTCAGTTCAGTAAATTGAACCTAAAAGTTAACAAATTATATTATAAAAATTTAGGCTTGTTTCGTATAATTTTATGTGAACTTATTTTATCTCAATTATAGTCCTTGTTTAGACTTTATACTCTGTAACCAAATTCCTTAAGTTTTAAGTTTGGAGTCGAGGGAGTTAAGAAAAGAAAATAGAAATTGTGACATGCGAATACTTTTTTTTGCATGAATAATGTCATGCAAATTGCCTCATATTATGCTTGTTTTGGTCGAATATTCCAAACTTGTATTAATACATTTGTAACATCTTGAAGGTCTTGTTTGATTTTTCATACGCAATGTTAGTTGTCAAGTGAAACGCGACTATAAATACTAATATGAATATGTAATATAGCTAGAGTTATTAAGCCAGTCAATTAGTCATATACTCTTGTCTAAAAGCATAACTTTATGGTAATGGAAAGCGAGACAATTAGGTAATATAAAAATAATTACTTTATATTAGAGAACTGAGGAACTATATGTGTATAAGTTCGATCTAAACTTCCAATTTTCGAGTAGCATGCATGTAAATATGTTTGTGACAATGAACATAAACCCTCAAATAACCCTTTACCTTCTCCTTTACTTTGAAGTGTCTTACCGTAAATAGTGGACAAAAAAAAAAAAAAAAGATCCAGTGGGGGTCTTCTAATTACCATTAAAATATACAATAAAAAATGAAGAGTGACCCTTGAAGCAAAAACAGAAAATATGACAAGAAATAAATGGTGACAAGGCGACACCAACATAAGATCCTACTGCGCTTCAGAAGTATTCCACGAAGAACAATATTTTTATGATATTTAATGTTAATTCCACCCCCTTATTGGAGCCAATTTACATTTATTTGCTGCATGTGTGTGTTATTCCCTAAAACAATGCCACCAAAAGTTCACAAGGTTGTCTCCAACTACACACTCTTCAACCATACGACAAAAGTTGGAGAAGATGAACACAATAACTTCAATTAGTACGAGTATGATCAAGCTTGGTGAGGTTCGATTCGTTCGACCCCTAGCTTCGTTGTGGGAATTTGCTAGTGGTGAACTGCTCGTCTGCTCTAACCTTCTATTTCACACGTTATAACTTAAGGTCTGTTTTGATTTATTGAATTGATGAACCGAGCTAAACTGAACTGAATAGAGCTGAAATGGATTTTATGAGAGAAGGAAATTAGGAGCTGAAATGAACTGAACTGAAATTAAGCTGAAGAGAACATGCCCTTAGAGTGTGTTTTTGCAACATGAATCTAATTAAGTAGGTCTGATTTCGCCTCATATTTACACTTGATTGATTACGTCCAATTAGTCCTGATATAACTAGTCTAAATAGGTTTTTTCTTAAGCTGAACAAAACACGCCCCTTGTTATGATTAGTAAAAGTATACGTTCAATCCTATTTTCACAATAATCGAACCATCTAAAATAGGAAAAAATACGTACTATAGTGATTAGCATTAAATTAGACCTATAAAAAAGAGTATACGTACTACATACAACATACTTGAATTTGTATTGTGCATCTCAACCAAAGCATAGCCAACTAGCCAAGCATGATGAAGTCAACATCAAGAATTCAAGATCATGACATGCAATCTAAGCTCACCTAATAACTTCCATAGCTCCTAACACACTACCATTAACATAATCGCGATAAAATAGATCTTTCTAACAAACAAACCATAGCCATCAACTAGTCCAAAATGATACACAACACTCCGTATAAAACTAAACCTATACACAAAAGAGTGCGCATGTACAATGTACTTATGATCAAGTAGCGTATAATTTATACAACCTCAAATAAATAAAAACGTGTATATAAAAATACACTTTATATCACATCACATTAGATAATAATACAAACAAACATACGTAAATAATCTCTGTATTTCAGTTGGTGACAATGGTAGGTGGTTACTAATATTAAGGAAATTTATTCATTCATTTATTTATTTATTTGTATATATTTTCCCACGAAAACTATATTATAAAAATTAATTAATTAGAAAATTAAATTAGAAAATTTCCAAGTAATTGACTTGGTGACCACGACTTCACAACCTTCCAAAAACTCTTATATAAACCCATTCCCAAATTAGGATTTTCCTTCTTTTTTTCTTCTCTCTTTCTCTCTCCTATTTTTCTCTCTCCTCTGTACGTCTCCTCTGTATTTTCTCTGCTCCTGCTTTCTTCTCGTTCTCTGTGTTTGTCTCTCTAGGGTTCTTTCTCTATTTCTTTTCCTGCAATTTTTCAAACCCCTTTGACTATTATTTTCTTCCATTTATTGTCTACATTGCTCTCATTTCTCTTCCTACCAAGAATTTTCCAAGGTTTGTCCTTTTATTTCTCTGTATTTTGATTTTCCTTGCATTGTTTTATCTGATGAAATTTCTAATGGGTTCTTTGATTTTTGATATGGGTATTTATAATTTCTCCAAATTTTTGATTTTTGTTCAAGAACTTTTGATGGGTATTTTGTTTTTTTGTTCTGGGTTGTTGTTGTTTCTCTGTTTTATTGCTTGATTGTGTGAAAAATGGGGTTTTTTTCAGCTTGAATTTCATATTATGGGTGTGAAATTATGTACATTTTTGGTGGTATTTTTTATTTTTTATTTTTTTTAACGTTTGTTGAGTTTTAATTTCATAGTTTTGCCAGAAGAGAATGAAATTTAGAAAGGCAAATAGAAAGAAAATGACAACAGATGCTCAAATGGGGTTCACCTATGTAAAGATTGGTTCTTTTTTTGTCGAAATATTGAGACTAAAAAACAAGGCAAAACGGCCGTATTAGAACAAGGCCCACTTAATGTCTATTTCTTGGTTTCATTTGATTCCAACTTTCTATGTTTGTTTTTGTTCTTGATTTTTTCCCCTTTTAATTTCTCTCATTTTAGACCACTTGTTTAGAATTGCTAAGGAAAAACCTATGATAGTGACATGGATGAACGATTTCTTCATTCTAAAGACAATTGGTATCTAGTTGTTGTTATAATTTTGGTGCACGCGGGGTCACGAAATTATCCATGATGTAGATGAGATTCGATCTCAGGTTTTAGGGTACCTTAGGTGGGTTTGTGGGATTGATGTATGTTAAGGGTTTTTGTATTTATATAATTGGTTTTAGTTTGTAGGACCCCTTTCCCCTGCCCTTAAATGGTAGTTAAAATTGTTCCCAAAGGTCACTGATCTTTCACATGAACGAAAGAATGACCTACACTAATACACTATTATGACACCCTTTCCTTTTCTCCTCCTAAAATTCTTAAGGGGGTGTATATGTGATTATGTGGTGTGAATGAATCTTCCCAAATTTTGCATCTTTGATGTACAGTCATGATTCAATTTGGTAGGTCATATTAATGTATACCTAATGTGGGTGTGTTGATAATTGAAGTCTGCCCCGTTTAACGTCGATTTTTTTGGGCCATGTTTGTTTGGAAGCATTAGGCTTGTGTAGTTAGTTGTTAGTTGTTTCGTTGTTTGAGTTCGAGGAATGATAAATCAATCTCCGAGATTAGACAAACGCTCCTATTAACTGTGTTTAGCATAGTTTATTCCTGTTTACTGTTAATATTTGATTGAAATCAAGTTGGCATGGTTTGGTTATAAAAGTGATAGACAATCATTAGTATTATTGGGTGACAGATAGATTTAACAAATCCTTGTTAATTGATGAGTATTATTGATTAGTTATCATTAAGGGAAATGTGTGTATTTTTGGGGATATTCATCATGATTTTAACTGTATGTGGGAATGCTAGTTGGACCACGCTAAGGTTGAAGATCGTTATACTTTTAACTGTATGTTTGAATTGACTGCAGTCAAAGCAGCCATTAAATATAAACTATAAAGGTTTTTGGAATTCAGGGCATATTTTCCATTGCAAAGTCCTTAATGGTGTGGTCTTTGATTCTATTTCAATGACTATACTATGTAAGAATTTCGCTTTTCATTGTCTCTTTATTTCATTTAGCTTGTATTAAGTGGTATTTGCTGAGACGACTAGTCTTTTCCTTTGAATCCTGATTCTCGATGCCTCGTGTTCTCACATGTTCTTGTCTCATAGATTGCCTGATTCTGGCCTTTGATGCTGCTATATATATTCATTTGTTGTGATTATTTAAGTCGTCAATCATGATTGGATGCTTGAGTACAAAGCAGCACGGTGTTTTGTTCTTGAGCTAATTAGTACTCCGTAATATAGTTTTGCTTATTGTTCTGATCTTCTTTGGTGTAGATATTTTGAAAAGCTATATTACAAACAAGGTCACATTTCATTGAGCTTACAAGGATTTTTTTGAAATGAGGAGGTATGTGACCAAGGACTGACTGTTTACTATATTTCATTGAGCTTTGTTTGATTTGTCAATTTATTTTTCTTAATTTGCTAACTTGATTACAAAATAACCAGTTCCCAGGATTTCTATGCTTGATGGACTGCTTCCCCCCAAACATTGACAAGAAAACTTTGAAGAAGTGGTTTTTCATTGACAGAACAGTTGGATAAAGTGCTTGTTTGTTATCGTACAATTCGATCTTGATTCATAGCCATTTCTCTTCTTGAGATTTGAAGCCTAGCTCATTGAAGTATTGTTTATAGTTTCCCTAACACTGTGACTTCTGCTACGAAACTGGATCCTATGGACCTCAAAACTCCTGTTCTTGCTGACCCTGCACCTATCAAAAAATCTCGATTAAGTTTGCATTCTAGTCTTATGCCTTACTCACCTCATCCGCAACGAGCTCTCTTTGCTAATGGAATGCTCTTGTCAATCCCAAGGAAGAAAACCGGTGTTTTAGATGATGTCCGAGCTGCAGCTTGGCTGGATGCTATGAAATCCTCATCTCCTCCACCTAAGAAATTTCCTTATGATGCTAACCCTGAACAAGATTCATCAGATGATGATGTTGCTTATCGTGCATGGACAGTAAGTAGATCTCTCTCTTGTTTGATCTCTTGGGTTTCGGTATAAAACAAGTCCAAGATTACTTTATATTACATATTGATTTTTCTTTCATTTCGCAGCTTAATTATCCATCAGCAATCACAACATTTGAGCAAATCACACATTTTGCCAAGGGCAAGAGGCTTGCACTGTTTTTGGACTACGATGGAACCCTTTCACCCATTGTAGATAATCCTGCTATGGCTTTCATGTCTGATGATGTAAGTATTAATTGCTTTAACTATCCGTATTTTAACAATTTAGATTTTTGTCTTTTATTTTCTTTTGTTAGCCCTTCAATTGACTGTCTATGATATTTCCATAGATGCGTTCTGCTGTAAAAGATGTTGCTAAACTATTTCCAACAGCAATTATCAGTGGAAGAAGTCGTGATAAGGTATAATTTTTCACTTGTCCATGTATCTTGCTCAATTAACTTGACTGTGAAAATGTTATTAACCTTCTGTTGTTGTTCATGCAGGTTTATGACTTTGTTGGATTGACTGAACTATTTTATGCCGGTAGTCATGGGATGGACATTATGAGCCCTGTGAAAGGCTCTGCTGCCTTTAATGGGCACCCTAATTGTGTCAAATTAACTGGCAAGCAGGTATTGTATACAACCTTGTCAGATTACTCGGGGAAGAAAGATCATTGGGTGAAAATATAGCTGACTACTCGTTTTTACTTCGTTTCTTGTTTCTTTAGGGAAAGGAAGCTGTCCTTTTTCAGCCTGCTAGTGAATTTTTGCCTATGATTGAGGAGGTAATGCTACCTTTATTCTTAGTTAATATGTAATATTGCTATCTTTAAATCATGTTAAAGTTAAAAGTCATAATTTAACATTTTTAATAATCATGGTTTTTTCTATATGTTCTTTTTCCTGAGCAGGTTTATACATCCCTTATTGAGACTACTAAAGAAATTAAGGGTGCAATGGTTGAGGATAACAAGTTTTGTGTTTCTGTTCACTATCGCAATGTAGAAGAAAAGGTAAAACAGTTTTTTTTAGTGAAATGCACTTGCGTTCCTTGGCTTATTGTTTGTTTACTAGTGCTGATTGTGTTACACTTAAACGTTACAGAATTGGAAGACTATTGCTCTTCGTGTCCAAGCTATACTAAAAGATTACCCACGTCTTAAACTGAACCATGGGCGGAAGGTTTTAGAGATCCGTCCTGTGATTGATTGGAACAAGGGAAAGGCTGTTGAATTTTTGCTAGAGTCCCTCGGTGAGGATCTTTTGCTCGGAATTATTTTCTGATTTTATTATACAAAGAAAATAGGATCCTATACTTGTATAGGACATTCTCTGCAGTTTTATAACCTGATGTTGGAAACATGTTGCAGGGCTAAGTGACTCTGATGATGTGCTTCCAATATATGTCGGTGATGACAGGACTGATGAGGATGCTTTTAAGGTAAATATGTGCTTTAAATAAATGATGTATAAGCTGTTTTATTAAGTGAAAATCCTACTGAATCCATAAAACATTTTCGAGTGCAGTTCCTAAGAGAAGAAAATAGAGGATATGGTATTTTGGTGTCTTCTGTTCCCAAAGAAAGTAATGCATTCTACTCCCTGAAGAACCCATCAGAGGTATTGTACTTAATTCTATACGAACTCCTTTAAATTGAAGCTATGATAAATTACTCGTAGGGATCGGACTTTAGTCTTAACACCTGATATCAGACTGATGTAATCTCAGGGATGGTTTCAGAACAGTAATCTTATACTCTTGATATTTTGTGCAGGTTATGGAATTTCTCAAGGCACTTGTGATTTGGAAGTCGAGTTCACTCTAGATTAACCACAAACTAGAAAAAGTATATTCTAAGTTCTAACATTACATAAATGTGATCAGCCAAAAAAAGAAAAAAAAAACAAAATTTTTTACCATTACATAAATATATACAGTATGGGAAGGATCAAAGAAGAACTGCAACCAGTTTTGGTGCAAGGTTTGGCGCGTGCAGCGGAAGAAGCTTCATCATCTTTTCAGTAACAATTTTGTTTGTAAAAAACGTCTGCGATTTTGTAAATCCCTCTTCCTTTGTATATTGCTAGCCCTTGTATTAGAAGCAGTTGATTAAGGTGCTTAATTTTCCATTTAGAGTTTAGTACCTTTGCTTCCATGTGTAGGATACTTCTTTAATATGCCTAAAATAGTAAAATCCCATATATAGGCTATTATTAGGAGGTTAATTAGGTTGCAAATTCTTTTATTTGTGAAATGTGTATTGTTCACTCTCGGAAACAAAATATATATATATATATATATATATATATATATATATATATATATATATATATATATATATCTAGGAGATTTGAGAGAAAGGAGAGTAATTTTTTTGGAAGGGGAAAGAAAAATATTTGTTGTGTCGTCTCTTGGTTTTTTCAGGAGACTCATTTTGTTGGCAAGTTTTATTTTACGGATCTAAATGTTCATTGTGTGTATGGAACAATACACACAAGGGTAATTGTGTGTGTGTGTATGGAACAATCGTTTTGTGTAATTCTACGTGATTGTTAATAAAAATATACTGGTATTACTTATTGTTGTAATTGTTGAAATTGTCTCTTGAAATTGCTGAAAAGAGAGCATGCACGTCAGCATGTGGATGTATGTATGTGTTTGGCCTCGCATGTTTTTTTTTTTTTGATCCAAATGAGGAAAAATTCCAATAAAAAGAAAAAATAAAGTTAACAGGGGAAGCAAGCAACAAAATCAAAGAAAATAAAAAACAACTACAGCTACTGGAAATTAGGGAGGTACAAATCGAGGCAAGGAAACACCCCTTGCATCCTCCTCCAAAATCCTTCCTAAATCTATGGGAACAAAGGTAACAATATTAAAATTTGTGTCTTGAGAGACTCCGCGGTTGGCCTCGATTGTTACTAGTTCTTGTTGTTTATCTTTAAGATTTCAATACATTTATAACTCAATCATCATATCTATGTTTATTTTTAAAAATTCGTCCATACTCATTTGAGCTTGAAATGACTAAATAGAAATAATATTTGGAATCCAGTAGCTTTACTTTCTCTTTGTACTTTCCATGCTAGAATAATAAAATGCCCTCATCACTTAAATTGATCATTATTCGTACTTTACATAAGTATGATCTTATTCTTTGGTAAGCTAATGCGTTGAATGATTAGTCAAAAACAATCATTAAGGCCCAGCTCATGCGGAAAAGTCCTTAAGGCCCAGCCAAAATCAGTCATGCACCATTTTTTTTTTTCAATTTTTTTTGGGGGGCTTTCAGGTAATTACCATTAAAACTATGAAATATGAAATTAATTTCTAAAATTGCCTTTTTTTTTTAAAAAAAAAAAAAACAAAATCTAAAATTGCAAATAAAAGAATTAAAAAAAAAAAAATTGCAAATCCCCGCCTTATAAAAAGTTAACCAAACTCTTATGAATATAGTGCATGAACATTTATATCTCTAAAAATATTCTTTTATATATTTGATCCCATTGATTTCAAAAGCCATCTTTTACTCTCTCTATTTCTTTTTGTTTTTCCGATTTGGAATTTGATCATTGTTTCATACAAAGTATTAAAGAGATTCTAAATTAATTTTAATATATATGGAGTACAAGAATTATATAATTGTATGATGTCTTGTTTAATTTATTTAATTAATCTGAATAAGTACTCAAAATTTGTTAGACATTTATATTTCTATAACTCAATATTTTTAGCATTCTTTCGCTAAATCAAAGTAACTCTACTGAAATTTCGATCATTGCACAACTATACAAGTAGCACAACATCCAACACATTTATCGTCTATATACAAATAGTTATAATAAAATATCATGTAAATAAGCATAAGGCATAAAAGGTCACCAGTATCAATTCTTCTTAAAGAGCTAGACATACCGAGTGCATCCCGTGCTTTAAAATCCCTAGTAAAAATGAAAATTGGACTTGTGTAATACTTTCATGTGACATAATTCTCATGAAAAGCTTGATTAGTAAATCGGTATATGAAATTAGAACACGTATGGCTTGAAGTTAACATTTCCCATGATTTTGAAAAGAAAGCATAGTTGGTCACTTGATCTTCATGATTTCATTTCACGGCCTTCTATCTTCAACATTATGCCTTTTTCACTCCATCCATAAATGATTTATAGTATTTGTCTTTCAATCATCTACGACCATTTAAAATGCGACAGTTAATTCACTACACGATGATAATGTATTAATTTTAATTAATTCAATTTTGAATAAACTCATGTCTTTGTGGTATAGGGTATTAATCGTATTATATTAGATAATTTTCTTGATTATAATGATTTACGAAGTATTTCTTCCAATTTCTTTTACTTGCAACACTTCCCTAAAAAGGAAATGTCACAATACTTGCAACACACTATAAAAGGAAAGTTACTTTAGGGAAAAACTATACTATTTTCCCTTATTTAAAGCACATAACCCACTAAATTACACTCCTAACAACCACTCATCCCATTTAAAGTGTATTATATCATGTGAACCCCGCATTTTTTAAATACCGTGAAAAAGTGTGTGTTGCATCTAAAAGAAAACGGAGGAAGAATAAATTATGAAATAAGAATATTATTAAACAAATTGAGTAGAATATAAGGATTGAGGTCTATTAATAAGTTTAGATAAGTTCAGATCAGGTTTAATAAGTTCTAATAAGGGTTATTCATACACAAATTATAATTAAAGTAAGTTTTAATAAGATCAGATAAGTTGAGATTAGTAAAAATCAAGTGAATAGAATACACCCTAAGTCAAGACACTTGTTGGCTCATCCCCTGTGTTCCAACATTGATTAGCTTTATAAATCATTTTCATTTTTATTTTGTTTTTCTTCCTATGGTAAAGTTTTCCAATTCAGTGTTTGTCGAAATGTGTCGCTCCTTTATACTTCGGGCATGTTCTCATCGACTGAAATGAGTTGTACAAAATTGAACTGAACTGAATTGAAATGAATATTTATGAAAGAAGAAAATTAGGAGCTGAACTTAACTAAGCTTATTAGAGCTGAATTGAAAATAATCTGATGAAAACAGAGCCTTCATCTTTTTCAATGTAATTGCTTCATTATTTCTTTGGTGGAAATGTCATAGTAATTGCATCATTTACATTTTACATATCTATTAGGTAGGTCTTTACGCATATTATTATGTATGACAATAAACAAACTATATTGTCCCTTATTTTTTCATTTCATGTCCTATTGACCTCATTCCTATGAATTCTATCTCTCTTCTTGTCCTTCAAAGAATAGTATTGTTGCATTGCCTTTTTAACACTCATTCTTCTTTCTTTTTTTAATGTTTTTATATAATAACGAAGAAAGTACTTGCTTTGACATTTTGACAACATAAAATATTGTCATGACAAAGTCTTTTTTTGGCTTGATAAATATGCCAATTGAACAAAGTAAATATAGCAAAATTAAATTTTAACAGGAAATAATAACATAAATTAACACTTAGACTTTTCCTAAATACTTCACACATGATAACATGTAGACCAATAGAAGTAGAAGTAGTTGTTAATAGTCAATTATGAGAGTCAAAATCAAACAAGAAATATGAAAAAAACAACATACATAATAATCATAAAATTAGGAAGAATTAAAATTTTAAAAAATCATTAAACCACCCACATGTGGAAGTAGTATTGGTATTTTATCTTCAAGATTTTAGGATTATTAGTGGACCACATGATATTGATGCATCCACATTATCTAGAAGAAATGAATACAACTTACAAGTATACAACATTACAACTCATTAGTATCAACTGAATCCAAAGAGCTTATCCGTTATACATTCCAAAAAAAAATTTATGACAATATAGAGTATATTTTTTTTTGTAATTATTCTAATGGGCATTAGATTTCATTAAAAGCAAAACTAAATTTGTCGCAATTACATTCGAAGTAGCATTCGGTAACTCATACTCTTATGTCCTGGTCTAGTCTGTTGGTTGTAAATGGGACATAATATGAGTCGCTACATTGGCTTTAACAATTAATCAACATTAATGACGAAAATAGGTAATTAAATATTTTAAGAGACATAATTGTCTCAATACTATTTATAATAGTGTGGTCATACTTTTAAAAAGAAATAAATACGTAAATAAACATTTTTAGGGACATAATCGTCTCACCATTATTCATAAGAGTTAATTCATACTTTATAAAAAGTAGGTATATAGAACGCGTTTTGATTGATAATCATAACAATAAAATATACCACAATTATGAAGCATCATTTGAGATTGATCAACAAACTCATTGATAAAATATTGTTGAATGTTGATGTAATTAATTCATTTTATGTAGTATAATCACTATTTCATTAAAGGCGGATTTGGTGAGTGATATATAATAGAAGTACATAATACATATCATTACTCCATATCTTTTGAATATCTATATAACCGAGTAGAAATAACAAAATGTCCCTCGCCTAGGGTTTTGTGGTTTTTTTCTTGTGCTTTCTCAAGCAATTTTAATCTCTTTCTCAAGCTTTTTGATTACTGCTCTCAATCCCGTATGCTATGGAATCGAAGCTACTGGATGATTTGGAGAAATTAAGCCTAACTGAAGAAGAAAATAAGGTCATCGGTGAAGACTATTCAGCCAGTGATGATGATGATGATACCAAAACCAAAATTTCATTGACATTGGTCGGGAAACTCTTAACGGGGAGACCTTTTAATGTCGAGGCTATGAAACAAACCCTTCCCAATGTATGGAAGGTTAGGGATTCTGTACCAATTAGAATGGTGGAAACAAATTTATTCGTCTTTCAATTTTTCAGTGAAGAAGACAAACAGAGGGTAATTGATGGTTGCCCTTGGTTCTTTGACAAGAAACTACTTCTCCTTACAGAAATATTTGGGGATGAACAACCTTCTGAAGTGCGTTTCTCAGAGACTCCTTTTTGGACTCGGATTAGGGATGTCCCTTTTAACAAGCGTCAACATGTCGAATATGGTCCTTGGCTAGGAGCTTCCCCGAAAAAACCACCCAAGCCTAATCCCCTGGAACGTGAAAACGAGAAATCTTGGCTGTCTCGTCTCAAGGGTCACAACACAGCAAAACTCCCTGGTTATTATGACTCTAATGTGATCCGTAAAAGACCCCCAGGGGTTGCTCGCAAGCTATTCTCATCTCCTACTCTGCTACCGAAAGAGACCTTAGTTGATGAACAGAGTAAGGGGCAGAATGTTGAGAACTCTATATCTGCTTCTGATAATATCCATCAACAGACTGATATGCCTCAAAATACTCATATTCCCCTAATCACTGATCAAAGGCTGACTGATTTTTCTCCACTAAAAGGGATTAATTCCCTTGGGGTTTCCCAGTCTGACAATCTGCTAGCTGCCAATAAAGAAAAAGGGGATAAAGGGGAACAATATCTTTTCTGAAGTTTTTGGAGAGGCTAATAGTACAAGGAAAAAATGGAAGAGGTACGACAGAGACGTGGATAGTTCGATGTCTGAACAAGCTGCTATGACAGGGAAGCGGAAACAGAAGGAAGATCAAGTTACTGAATTTGCGGAAGTGAGCAAGGCACTGGTTGGGAAGAGGTTGACATGGATCAATCCCACCATGTCCAATGAGTACTCTTTGCTGGAACTGCCGGGGGTTTGCTAGCCCTCTTGCAGTTCGAGCACTACGTAAGTGGTGCACTACTTTAGTTCCGGATATCCTGTTTTTGTCTGAAACTAAAATTAATAAAAAATATTGCTGAAAATAATAAAGTTAGTTTTGGTTTTTCGTATGCTTTCGGTGTTAGTAGTATTGGTAGAGCCGGTGGTTTGTGTATTTATTGGAAGGACAATGTTGATTTCACCTTAGTTTCTTACTCCCAAATCATATTTATGGCGATGTTAAACTGAATTCGAATATACACTGGCGTTTTGTTGGAATATATGGATGGCCTGAAATAGGAAATAAACACAAAACCTTTACTCTAATTCGTCAGTTATGTTCTGATTTTGATGGTCCGATCTTAATTGGGGGTGATTTCAAGGAGATTTTGAGATACGATGAGAAAGAAGGGGTTGATAATGAAAGACGTGCTCTTCCTGAATTTTGGGAAACTTTGCAGGACTGTGATCTTAGAGACCTGGGTTTCGAAGGTCAATGGTACACTTGGGAGAAGGGTTTGTCTATTCAAACCATAATCCGTGAGAGACTTGATAGGTTTGTGGCAAATGGCTCTTGGTTCAATCTTCACTTGTAACCCTCCGTGGAAAATCTGGTTCGTTTCAAGTCTGATCACTCACCAATTTTTCTTAAATTTGGTGAACATAGGAAGAGAAAAAATAAGAAAAAGAAGAAAGGGTTTCGCTTTGAGACTGCTTGGCTTTTCGATAACGAGTGAAAAGAGGTGTTCGGAGTTCTTGGTGTGATTATGATGGAAGTAGGGATGGCAACGGGTCGTATCTAGAGCAGGTCCGATGGACCCGGATCCAGATCCGTTTTTGTATATAGGATCCAGATCCGACCCGGATCCGTCGGGTCTAGAAAATGAAGACCCGAATCCGGATCCATCGGGTCCAACGGATCCGGGTCCAATATATTTTGCCTAATTTTTTGCAATAAATGTAATGTTCGGGTCAAAAAATTTATTTCAAACTTACGTTGTTGGTTATTAAGTTCAACCCCAAATTAAACAACTTATACACTCATATTTTGAATTAAAATTATAAACAACAAAAAAAAATATGATGTTACATATGAGCTAGTGAAAAAACAACGATGATGTGTATAATATGAGTATCCAAAATTCATCTCTTGAAAAGGTTAAGCTTTATAATTACTAACATTATCAACATTTTTAATAAAGAAAAAACAATTTTAGTTTTTTTTTTAATAGGAAAAATAAAAACAGGGTCCACGGATCTGGATACGGGTCTAGGGTCCAGACCCAGATCCAGATCCGTTTTTGTCAGCAGGACCCGGATCCGACCTGGATCCGTCGGGTCCAAAATTTTAAGACCCAGATCTGTGAAAAACGGATCTGGATCCACAGATCCGGGTCGGGTCCAGATCCATTGCCATCCCTAGATGGAAGAGTGACAGATAGAGTTAAAACTGTAGAAGGCAACCTCAAGATTTGGAGCAGCCGTAAGTTTGAGAAACTGGGGTAGAAAATTGAAGATACAGAGAAGGCTTTGAAGAAGGCACAATGCGATGATCTTTCCGAGGATTCAATTGCTAGATGTGCGAAACCGGAGAAAAAATTGGATGATTTGCTTGGTAAACAAGAGGCTTATTGGTTCTTGCGTTTGAGAGTATCGGAGCTAAAGGATGGTGATCATAACACCAAATACTTTCACCATAAAGCATCACAACGCAAACAACGCAATGAAATTTTGGGCCTTTTTGATGATAATGGTATCTGTCAGGAAGGTGAAGAAAAATTAGAAGGAATTGTCCAACATTTTTATCAGAATATTTTCACCTCCGGAATGCCATCCAATGAAGCATGTGATCTAGTTCTAGATGCGGTCCCTTCGAAGATCACTCCGGATATTAATGAAGCTCTTCTGCGCCCTTACTCCAAGGATGAAATTTTTGCCGCTCTGAGTCAATGCATCCCTGCAAAGCCCTTGGTCCGGACGGTATGCACGCAATTTTCTTCCAAAAATTTTGGCATATTGTTGGTGATGATGTCACTCGCCTTGTTAGTAATATTTTACAGGGTAATGACTCTTTTAGCTCTGTTAATAATACTAACATTGTTCTTATTCTAAAAGTCAAATCTCCTTCTTAGATGGCGGAATTCAGGCCAATTGCATTATGTAATGTTCTATACAAAATTGCTTCTAAAGCTATTGTTATGAGGTTAAAAGACATTCTTCCAGGAATCGTCTCTGAAAATCAAAGTGCCTTTGTCCCGGAAAGGCTAATCACAGATAATGCTTTAGTAGCTCTGGAACTTTTTCACACTAAAAAACAAGGTGTAAAGGCAAGAAAGGGTTGGTCTCGATGAAATTGGATATGAGCAAGGCGTATGATAGGGTAGAATGGTTCTTTTTGGAGAAGCTTCTACTGAAAATGGGTTTTGCTGATAGATGGGTGGCTATGATTATAGATTGTGTCCAATCTGTCACTTACTCTTTCATTGTGAATGGTGGTATTTGTGGCTCGGTCACCCCATCCCAGGGTCTCCAACAAGGGGATCCTCTCTCCCTCTATTTGTTTATTCTTGTTACTGATGCTTTTTCAGGTCTACTGCGGAAAGCCATGGAAGATGGAGCCCTCCATGGGGCTAGAACTAGCAGGAATGGACCGAAAATTTCCCATCTCTTTTTTGCGGATGATAGCTTACTCTTTGCAAGAGCCAAACGAAGAGAATGCTAAAAAAATGTTGAAATTCTTAACACATATGAAGCAGCTTCCAGACAGAAATTTAATTATGAAAAATCGGAGGTTTCTTTTAGCAAAGGGGTGAATTTTGCTACGCAAGAGGAGTTATTGGGAATCTTAGCTATGAAATGGGTTGACAAGCATGGGAAGTATTTGGGTATACCAACGATCATTGGTAGATATAAGAGGATGGTGTTCGAGGCACTCAAGGATGGAATCTGGAAGAAATTGAACGGATGGAAGGAGAAATTGTTATCTAGAGTAGGCAAAGAAGTCCTTCTCAAGTCAGTAATTCAAGCAATTCCGACTTATCTTATGGGAGTGTATAAATTTCCAGCAGGAATTATTAATGATATCCATAGCATGATGGCTCGATTTTTGTGGGGCAATAATGATGGGTCAAGGAGAGTACATTGGAAAAGTTGGAGTGATATATGAACTCCAAAGTGTCTTGGGGGCTTGGGTCTTCGTGATCTTCATGTTTTTAACGATGCATTTCTTGGTAGATAAGCATGGCGATTGGTTAGTCATCCTAACTCCCTCCTGAGTAAAGTTTTTCAAGCAAAGTACTATGCTAAAGGCTGCTTTCTGGATGCAAACCTGGGATGGTCAAGCAGCTTCTCTTGGAGAAGCATTTGGTCATCTAAATCTTTGATTAAGGAAGGGCTTTTGTGGAGAATTGGGGATGGGACTAATGTCAAGATTTGTCAAGACCCTTGGCTTGTCAATGGAGATAGTAGGTTCATGACTTCACCTCCATTTGATGAAGTGCAGCGTGTTAGTGATTTGATTGTGGGAGATTGATCGTATCATGGCCTTATTTAATGAGCAGGACTCTCGCAGCATTCTTTCGATCCCTTTGAGTTCAAGAAGCATCCCCGACATCACTGGTACGCTTCTTGTTAAGGCGTATTTGAAATTCCGTCACATGACAGAAGATGAAGACTGCCCTTGGTGTGTTGGCTGCCCTGAAACGGTCCACCACACGTTTTTTGAGTGCCACACAGTGAAGGAGCTATGGGAGGAATGTGACTGCAACGTTCTAGCTTCGTGGCCACAAGACATGAGCTTCATTGATTTCTTCGAATCGTGGAGTAAGCACAAGTCTCAATTGCAATGCAGGGGTGCTATTCTTCTTTGGTACATCTGGAACAGGAGGAATGACAAGGTTTTTAAGGGCCTGACACTTACCACCCTTCGATGATTGAGAAGGTAAAGCGTCTGGAAGATGACTGCTTGTCCTACGCAAAGAAAATCTATGGTCTTGCCACCAGAAAGCAAAGAAGCAGCCCCAAAACTTGGTCAGCCCCCCCCCCCCCCATCAGGTACTATAAAAATCAATTGCGATGCTTCGGTTAAAGATGATGGATGGGTTGGGTTAGGTGGCGAGGGACTGCCATGGAGATGTTATCTTTGTAGCATCTAGAAGGGTCTGCGCTTTCTGGCCTCCCTTGATCGCCGAGTGTAAGGCTGTAGCTATGGCTTTGAGACTAGCTAAACGTTATGGTATGACAAATGTTATGCTGGAATCTAATTGTCAAGTTCTCATTGGAAGGCTGTGCAAGGGAACAATTTTCTTTGCTGATATGGATGCTCTGCTCGAAGGCATTATTAAGTCTAGTTCTCATTTCGATTCTATTTCTTGGTGCCATATTAAGCGGGAGGGCAATACTGTAGCTCATTATTTAGCCCGTATTATGCCTTTTGGTGTTGAACAAGTATGGGAGAACCATAGTCCATGTGAGGTTGCTCCATACATTCTTATGGATGAATTAATAATATAGGGCACCATCCGATTTTTCTCAAAATATAACTGACACTACTAGAAATGGGTCAATTTCCGACCGAATCATGCCGACGGACATGATTTTCCGTCGCAAATCCTATCATCAACGACGGATTTAAGGTTGACGTTAATTTCGTTCGGAAAATATAGTTTCCGACGGAAAATTCCTCGCAAATTTTCCGACGGAATTAAATTCGGTCGGAAAACGTAGTTTCCGACCGAATTTAATTCCGTCGGAAAATTAATTAGACAAAAGTCAAGGGTTTGGTTTTTGGTGTCCATTTGCTACGAATTCGAAAGAAAGAGAGAGGAACGAAAGAAAGAAGAAAGAGGAGATCCGCCGCCGTCGAAGAGGAAACCCTTTGCCGTTCGCCGCAGCCGGAGATCCGTCTTTCGTTGGTCGGCCGCCGGTAAGTGTAGTTTTTGTTTTTTTTAAAAAAAAAATATAAACACGCCTCCACTACAATTAACCACCGTCTGCAACAGCCTCCACTGCGCCGGTCAGAGGTCCAGCGTCGCCCAACCACGCTGTTCTCCGCCGCTGGTAAGTGTTGTTTTGTGTTTTTTTTTTACTTTTATTTTTAAATTTTAGTCTGAAAATGCTTTGAACAGCCACCACCGCCGGTTCCTCCTCCAATATTGTCCTCGCTCCGACCAGAACCACCACCATCTTTACCACCCCCCGTTCTACAGCCGGTAATTGTACATTTGTTATATATATATTTTATTTTTTAAAAAATAATTGTACCTTTATTATAAAAATTGACATATTAATTTTTACTATTTGTAGGATTTGAACATTTACTTGCTTTGAATCTCAATAAATAGTGCAGATCTTGAGGTTAGTGACATGACATTTTTAAAAATTCTTAGTTTAGTTTATTTTGTGATAATTTTAAGTTACTTTAGTTTGGTTTATTTTATTATAATAATGGTTGATATGTTAGTTTAATTTGGCTTATCATAATAATGTAAGACATGACATGTGAAATTGCTTTGATTTAGTATAATAATGTATGACATGATATGTTAGTTTAGGTTGATATTTTATTATAATAATGTACGAGATTATATGTTAGTTTATATTGGTTTTGTTTAGTATAAAGATGTATGTTAGCTTAGTTTAATTTGTGATAATTTTATAATGTATATTAGTTTTGTTTTATGTAATGTAATGTTCACTAGTTTTGTTTAGTTAATGTGATGATTAATAATTTTTTGTATCAATTTAATTATGAATATAAATTGTTTACATATGATTATTTATATTAATTAAATGATGATTATGATATATTTGGTTTACTTATAATTATTAATTTAATTTAATTAATTGTGTTCTTTACTTTATAATGGTTGTGTTATTTGCTTGACATATTTTAAAATGAGCGTGTTATAATGATGGATGTGTTATAATGAATGTGTTATAACAATGGATGTGTTTTTGGCTTTATATACTTTTGAATGAATCATTTGCATAATCATTTGCCTAGATACCCGTTCAAGTCATACTCATTAGGAGTATGTCTTGAATAGTCCCCGGTTGGGACTGTCCTTAGACGTTTATTCTCACTTAGGTGGTGAATGTATGCCTTGTTATTGATTCTAGGGATTATCCTGCTTTGTCATTTCTCTACAATGTTCTCTGGGTACACATGACGGGTTATCTAATACCCTTGATCGTGTACTTGGAGAACTTAAGGGAAATGCTGCCGGATTTTCCATAGAATTGAAAACCTGGCATACATTCGCTAGTGAGATTAAATGTCCAAGGATGGGTTAGGTTGGAGTGATAAGGACCTTTGGACATCATCTATAATCTTATTTTCATATTCATAACATTTTTATGGATAATGAATATTCAATACGCATTGTGACTAATGTAATTATACATATTCGTGAGTTGTGTAGAAGTTGTAATCATAAAACGAACATAACGTAGCTGGATGTATGAAAGGAAGGTTGGACATTCTATTAATCCGGATTTTGTGAAAGGGGTAGATGAATTCCTTAAATACGTGGAAGATCATCCCGAGAGCAGCAACCCGAATGAAGTTAGGTGTCCATGTTTTAAATGTAAGAACAAGCGGCTATGGGATGCGGAAACGGTTAAAATTCATTTGTACCGCAAGGGTTTTGTGCCTAATTACTATGAGTGGATGTGTCATGGGGAAAGGTTTCTGGGAGTTCCTGAAGGGCCGTCAAATGAATACCGTGAAATGGTTTTCGATGCTTTTGGTCATAATGAAGATCAAGGGCATTCTGAAGAGGCAAAGGAGGAGCCTAATGCACAAGCTAAGCATTTCTTGGATTTGTTAAAAGCTTCCGAACAACCATTATACGAAGGGAGTTCGTTGTCTGTCTTAGAGATGGCTGCCCGAATTACTAGTCTTAAGTGCGAGTATAATTTGCCCCATAGGTGTGTTGATGGGTTTGCTTCTTTGGTCAATGAGGCTATTCCTAACAACAACCATATGGCCGATACATTCTATGAGGTGAAGAAGGTTGTAAAGGGGCTGGAGTTTCCTCATGAAAAGATTCATGCATGCCCGAAAGGATGTATGCTATTTTGGAAGGATGATGTTCAGCTATCTTCATGTCGGGTGTGTGGTAGCGACCGATACAAGAAGACTTCCAAAGGTAGCTTAGTGCCTTTGAATGTTTTAATTTACTTTCCGATCACACCGAGATTGCAAAGGCTCTATGCAACCAAGAATATTTCGGAGGAAATGACATGGCATTCGAAAAATCCTCGAGTTCAAGGCACAATGGCGCACCCTAGTGATAGTGAAGCTTGGAAACACCTCGACAATTGCTTCCCAGAATTTTCCAATGAGCCTCGTAATGTTCGACTTGTCTTGTGTACAGATGGTTTTGCTCCTCATGGTAAGTTTGGGGGACAATATTCTTGTTGGCCTGTCATATTGACCCCTTATAACTTGCCTCCCTCAATGTGTATGAAAAGACAATTCATCTTTCTTTCATTGCTTGTTCCTGGTCCTAGGAACCCTAAGGGCAATTTGGATGTGTATATGCAACCTCTGGTAGAAGAGTTGAAGCATTTATGGGAAGTTGGCAAATACTTATGACATTTCAAGGAAACAAAATTTTAATCTTCGAGCAGCCATCCTGTGGACCATTAGTGACTTCCCAGCTTACGGTATGTTGTCTGGTTGGACCACAGCGGGTAAGAAGGCTTGTCCTTATTGTATGGATAAAAGCAAAGCATTTTGGCTTGAACATGGTGGCAAAGTTTCTTGGTTTGATTGCCATCGCCAATTCCTTCCAACAGAACACCCTTTTCGAAAAAGCAAAACTGCATTTTGTAAAAACAAAATCGAAAAAGGTTCACCGCCACACATCATGTCAGGTGAGGAATTGTGGGAATGTGTGAGACACCTTCCAAAGGCAACTGATGGACCGGAGGCATTGAAACACCTAAAAAAAGCAAAAAAGGGGTGGTTCAAGCAAAGCTTGTTGTGGGAACTTCCTTATTGGAAGCATTTGCTCATCCGTCACAACTTGGATGTCATGCACATTGAAAAGAACTTCTTTTATCAGCTAATCCACACCATAATGGATGTGAAAAAGAATACATGTGACACGCCATCGGCTCGAAATGACATTGCCAAATATTGTAAACGGCCACAACTTCATATGGATGAAGATGATAGAGGAAAAGAGTTTATGCCAAAAGCCCCATTCGCTCTTGACGAGGCTCAAAGAAAAGTGTTGTGTGAATGGGTTAAACAGTTGCGGTTTCCAGATGGATATGCCTCCAATTTGAGCAGATGCGTAGATTTACAAGCCTGTAAGCTTCATGGAATGAAAAGCCACGACTGTCACGTGTTCATGGAGAGGTTTTTGCCCACTGCTTTGAGGGAATTGTTCCCTACCCATATTTGGAATGCGGTTACAGAGATCAGTCAATTCTTCCGTGATTTGTGTTGTTACACAATCACAGTTAGTGACATGGAGCGATTAGAGAAAAACATAGCTGAAATCCTTTGCAAGCTTGAGA